AGTAGCCAGGGTGTGTCCTTCAGAAACCAGGAGTCAGGGGATGGGGCTGCCTTTCTTCACAGGCAGTGTTTCCCTAATGAAGAACCGTAAGCATTTTCACTGAGCAGGGATGTGCCCCATGTTTGGGGTGATTCATCTTGAATGATGATTTTTGAGAAAGCAGTGCCTCAAAGAAGGGACGTCTGTGGCCTGCAAGGGGAGGTTGGCAGGGAGACAGAGTCTGAAGCCCAGGGCTACTGTCCCCAAGGACAGGTGAAATTGAGAGCCATGGAGGTGATAAGATTTGCAGGGACCATTCGTTCCCAGCGAGCTCGTTGCTGGATTCTTCTGTGGAGGCATCCAGGTCTGATGCGTCTGGGCTGCATGCTGGATATTCTTTCCCCCAGGCGTTCCCTCTCCACTCATACTCCTGCTTGCGCACTCGCCTCCCGGTTCCACCCCACCTTCCACTCAGCCGTCCCTCAAGCATCCTCTTGGTTGCAACCCCAGTGGAAGGTACTATTCTAGCAGTCTTACTGGTCCTCTGGTGACCTATGGGGCCAGCTGCACCCAGCACTGTGCTGAGGGGCCAGGAAGCCTGCTGGGACCCTCCAGCACACTCCACCAGGGTACCAGACACCTGCCAATGCGCCCGTTGGCCCTACCAAGTGTCACTGAATTAGGACTAGGATGTCTCTTGTCATTACCTGGACAGATGCCTTGTACGTTCTCCTTCCCCTCCTGGGAGGAAGCAGTCACCGCACTTCCTCTGGTGACTGCAGAATTCCTTTTTGCACAGGTGCCCTGCCTAGGGATCCCCGACTCCGTCTGCTATGCTTTCTGCGTGTAGTCTGCAGAGGACTCGGGCTTTGATTTGAGTCTTTTGTTCCAATCATTGCTTGGGGTTCACTGGATTCCTTGGCAAGCAGAGCTTTGCTAACCAGTAGCAACAACAGAAAGGCTTCCACACAGGAGCAGCAAGCTTGCTCCTGATTTGCTGTCCCCGCCTCCTGTTGTTTGTACAGCTCACGGGGTTAGGGAGGTGGTGGCAGAATCTCTTTCCTTCAGGAAGTTAGGCCAGTGAGGAGCTCCCTGCACGGCACAGAGAACACACACAAGACCACCTGTGCCTGCAGTGCCTCCTGGCTGGTAGCATTTCCACTTGGCAGCAGATAGAGCCAGAACCCCAAGGATGAGAGGACAGGGCTGTCACGGGCATCTCACAGACCATATTCCAGAGCCCACTTTGCTTAGGGCAGGGCGAGTCAAAAGCCACTGGTGCTTCTGGGTGCAGTGTGTGTTCACAGAAGGCTTAGAGTAAGAGCTCCCAAGGCTGCCACATTTCCTCCTGTTTGGACCAGTGACTTGTAATGTTTCCTTTGATGTTGTGTTTCTCTCCACCTTGTATCTTATAGCCAGAGCCTGAACCTTCACGTCGATTTTTTGTCGACCAGTGGCGGCTCTCCCTTAGCCTTCGCTCCTCCAGCCGCCCCGCCTCTCCTTCCTCTGACTCCCTCCGACAGGTAGCATGAACTGGGACTTGGCAAAGTTGCATTCTCTCTCAGCCTCTACTCACTTCACTTTCGCCAGTGTCATCTGCCCAGGGAGATTTTGCACATCTTAACTTGGGCTTGTAGCCTGCAGGAAGCGTATTGCCTCTGTGTGTGTGTGCATATGGGTGTGCATGTTTGGCTTGCGGGTGAGGCCTGTGGGCAGACAGTGAGATTAAAGACGCTGGTAACTTTCGCTAGGTTATGTTTAATTCATCTGTTCTGCTAAAGTAAACACACTCTGATTTATTTAAACTATATCAATTATAGATCAACATTTTTCAGCCATTGACTTTTTTAACTCCACATGTCTTTGTGATGATAGTGTGTCACAAATGGTGAACCACAGTGTGATTAAATCTCTTAATTGAAGGGATGAATATGCATTATTCTGGGTACCCCTGGATATGTAATCATTTGAGGAATAAACCCTTCTTTCCCTGCAGAGGTACTAAACTGTTTTAGAAGCATTTATACAAATTGCAGGTTCTTACTGCCCTTGCTACTGATATGCTTCTTGTTGTTGATAACAGGCAACATAATACATGTGTGTGGAAGCGTGTGCATGTGTGTGGAGGTGTGTGCATGTGTGTGGTGTGCACTAGGATAGGCCTAGCGATTGCCACATTTCAGCTTCTTTTTAAGGGTGGAGAGAAGAAAACCACCTGCTCTTCATGCCAGAAACAACTACAACTTGAGTTTCACCAGTCTTGGGAGTGCTTGTCAATGTTACCACGCGGCTGCGAACTGAATGCAACCAATGCCTTTGCACGCAGCAACTTCAGGCTGTAACCGCTTGGTGGGGTGGTTCTGGTTGGAGAGAAGTGAGGACCCAGGACATGCCTTGGTGTCTTGGCCTCAGTTAGACACCTGATTCCACTTTCACTTTCTGCTGCAGGATGAAAGAAATGCAGTCCTATGCTCCCTCGGTGTCAGCTGTTAGCTGCTCAGCTCTGCCTGGCATCTGCCTGTTCTAAGCCTAAGCTTCTCTAAATGTCTCTAATGTAAAGAAGGTTTAGAGCTAAGAACTACTTGTTTTCTTGGCCGTTAATATAACCTAAGGAGGTAGTGAACAGTGGCATCAATCTTGAGAGATCATGTGCCTGAGTTAAGAGTGGTAACTGATTCCTCAGTGCCACCTGACCCAAGCAGGCATTGTTTTCTTGTCTGCACTTCTCTTGCTCCCAGAGTTAAAGTTAGCTGCCCCCTAAATACTTCTGCCTGTCTCTGCCCAGAGGTGCCGCTGCCCAGGTCCATGGCTTTGTATCCAAACCACTCCCCCAAGATGTCCTGGAGTGCATTTGAATCAGAATTAGAGTTAGAGCCCCTCAACCTTGGCCATGGACCTCCTGCTCTGTGTGCTTCCTCGGAGAAGCATCATGACCTGGACATGACAGCCAGCGGGACTTTGCCTGTGTTCCTAGGGACAGGCCACAACGCTGGGCTGTCTGGGTGGCCAAGCCAAGTTGGGAGCAGGATGGCTCACAGTGAAAGCTTGGTGGTTTTCTCCTGTTATTTCTTCAGCGTTGCCAAAGAGAGGATAAAGTTGGTGGGATTTTTGTTGCTCTTACCCTTCCAGAATTGAAGCACATTCTGACTTCTCAGAACTCACTGGGCGGTTTGTCCGCTTCTCTGCAGCTTGCGACATGATGCCTGCCTCAGTCTCTGAGAGGCTTTTAACAGCCATTTAATGTCAGTGGGAGAGTAGCTGAGAAGAATTCTAGCAAAGCGTGGAAGTGTTTGCCGCTTGTGACAGAAGTGATGGGTCAAGTATTCATAAAGAGAAAGGAGATTATCCCATGTAATACTAGAGCTGTGGACGTCTCTTAGCCCAGCAGAGACTCACCCTTTGTTTGAGGAATTAACTTGCCAGACCTTCTCCTCTACGCTGATACAGTGGTCTTTCTGGTTATCCACTGCCTGTGTGAGAATTCCCCCCTCCTGAATTCTTATTTGTAATTTGAGTGACTGAGATCCAGGGCCTCTCACTCTGTTCTGTTTGCCTGCATCCCGTCTTCTTAGCTCCCCAACTGAATGTTGCCCTCAAATGTGAAAGACGGTAATACCGCCCACAAGAAGATAAGTCCTCCTGCAGCTGTCATTGCTACCCATGTTGCCATCTCCGCGTGGACACTGGCACGATGTTTTGTTTTAGCAGTCTCCCTGCTTGTGGGCACTGTGTTGGCATGGTTTGTGGCTGCACTTTGTGTTCATTTTATACCTTTCAAAACATTTTTTTTCTGTCTTTAATTAATTTATTTTTCCCCTTCAATCTGGTCATTGTGTAATCTCCAATCAATAGAAGTATATAAAGATGTACACGGGCGGAGTGAGCTCATTGGCTGAGCAGATAGCCAATCAGCTTCAAAGGAAAGAGCAGCCCAAAACCCTTCTAGACAAGAAGGAACTGGTAAGAGACGTATCAAGGACACTGACTAGCTGGATGTAACGTAGCCATGGGAAATAAACACCATCTGTTCCGGGAAGCTCGATAGCTTATGCAGCCAATGCATGCCATGCAGCAATGGGAATGTTTATGCTAAGGTTGTCTGAATTCTGATAACTGAATTTCTAGGACTGCAATAGTTGTTCAGGATGCTATGTTCTATCTTCGAATCTCTTCATCTAGGACTACACTCACACACAAATGCACATAGAACCAGGTGAACACTGAGAATACAAGGGGTTTTCAAGAGAGTTCCTGAAAAGCATACATGGAAACTGCATGTATTTCAAAACTGTTTTTGCGTGTGAGTGGGCTTTGAACCTGCCCTTTGATCCCTGCATCCCACTTGGAGACTCTGGGTTCAATTCCTAGCTCTGTCTCCTGATTCTAGCTTCCTGCTGATAATGGAGGCCCAATAATGGCTCAAGAAATTGAGCTGCTTGTGATCCATGTAGGAGACCTTGAGCTCCCTGCTTCTCACTCCAGCCCTGGCTGTTGCTGCCATTTGGCCGTGAACCCATAAATGGAAGTTTCTTCTGCTCCTCGGACTCTTTGCTTAAATAAATAAGTTAAAAGCATATTTTTTGCACCAAAATAAACTTACCTTCTAATTCCATTTTCCATGAACTTTTGAAGTACTGTTGTATGTATATTGATGCTGTGCTTAAAACAAAACTATGGCAAAAGAGTTTGGTTTGATGATTATGAAATTTTACAAAATTGATTCCTTTATCACAAACAAACTGATATGGGATTCCTTGCGAATGTTGGTCAGTATTGCCTCAGAATCCACTCGGGCCAAAGGGTTTTTCAGAAAGCACAGATGGAACAGGTACCGCAGTGGTACCGCCACTCCTTGGAAAGCTCACAGCCCTGTAATACTCATATGCTTTCTCCAGAGCCGCTTGGTGAAGGTGGGTTTCGCCCACAGAGAGGGTGGTGCACCTCTAGGAGGAGAGCTCAAGTGAGGAGCCCTGCGCTGAGAAGCTCTCCTTCCCCCCTCGCCCTCTCCTTGCCTCCTGCAGGGTTCCATGAAGAAGGAGTTCCCCCAGAACTTGGGAGGCAGTGACACGTGCTATTTCTGCCAGAAGCGGGTCTACGTCATGGAGAGGCTGAGTGCCGAGGGCAAGTTTTTCCACCGGAGCTGCTTCAAATGCGAGTACTGTGCCACTACCCTGCGCCTCTCCGCCTACGCCTATGACATCGAAGACGGTGAGTCTGCTTGCAGTTCAACCCACGCTTAGAAGCCAAGCTCAAAAGTATAAGAACCTTGAAGCCCCTCACTGTGGTTTTCTAAGTGCTTTTTCATCCCAACCACCCTGCCTCTTCCTATCCATCTCCATCTCTTTGTTTTTGTTTTTTCGAAGATTCGTTCTTCTAAATATTTCCCCAGGTCACCAGCCTGTCTCATGGCATTGTTGAGTAATGAGAATGCCATTTCCCTGGATTCACAGACTCACTTGCTGTCTCACGTCATAGTAGGCAGTTGGGATGAAAGGTATCCAGTAACAGGTCTTTTCAGAAGCAGAATCACAGGTCCAAGGAAGTCACATGTGTTGCCGAAGGTCGATGGCAGGTTCTAACCAGATGCCAGGCGTCTGGGTTCTAGCTTTTACCTGCTGGAAATGGCTGAGATGTGCTTGCTGTTTCCTCTTTGCTCACTCTGGCATTGCCATCTTGTCACCCCTTGCCTGGTGGATTCATAGTTTGTGACATGAAGCCTAAATCTTATCATGGTCCTCAAGACCTAGCTTTTTGCAAAATTTGCTATTACAAAGAAAGATCTTAACAGGGTAGAAGGTGAGTAATTAGGCAGACCGGCAGCAGAGCCTGAAAGATGTTGGCAGGCAGACTGTGAAGGCATTGGTTAAAGAGTGGGTGCTTACCTCACTGGATTTTTCTTGTGGCTTGAGTTAATATAATGCAATTAAGATAGTATGTCGGACGTAGTGTGTAGTAGGTGAAACTTAGCTCCTTTTTCCCATCCTAAAGGTGAGCTGCAATAGGTAGCTGATACTTCCTGTGCCATTCCTACAAGATGCTGAAGTAAGTGGATGGGAGGCCAGTTTACCAATAAGCAATGGAGAAATCAGGGTTATATAGGAAAGGAAAATAAAGCCTCATGCAAGCTTCAAGTCCCTTATCCTGATAGGTGATTTCTTCACTATGAGGCAGTTTTTTTAAAGAATTTTTTTTTTTTAATTGAAAAGTCAGATTTACAGAGAGGAGGAGAGACAGAAAGGTCTTTTGTCTGCTGGTTCACTCCCCAAGTGCCACAATAGCTGCCACTGAGCCGATCTGGAGCCAGGAACTTCTTCCAGGTCTCCCACAAGGGTGCAGGGCCCCAAGGTTTTGGGCCGTCCTCAACTGCTTTCCCAGGCCACAGGGAGAGAGCTGGATGGGAAGTGGAGCAGCCAGGATATGAACCAGCACCCATATGGGATCTAGGCACATACAAGGCGAGGACTTGAACCACTAGGCTATCATGCTGGGCCCCACTATGAGGCAATTATATGATGATGTTACGTAGGAGAGGGACATTGTATGAACAGGACATAGTACAATTTCCAGGCCTTCCTAACAGTGATTAAACTGTCTATTAAGGAAGCCAGAAAGGAGCCTAAAGTGGTGAATGGCTAGACTAACCCTTATCAGAATGGTCCTCTCACTATATTAATGGGGAAAGAATTAAGACTGGTTAGATAAGGGAACTAACTTTATTTGAAGGTAGTTCCAGAGAGGGAGGGAAACGCGAGAGTGAGAGAAAGAAATCTTCCATCTTCTGGTTCACTTCTCATTTGGCCATAACGGCCATGGCTAGGCCAGGGCAAAGCCAGGATTCCAGAGCTTCATCCGGGCCTTCCACGTGGGTGCAGGAGTGCTGCACCACAACTCCCCACGCCTTACACCGAAGAAAATGTCATCAGCTTAGTCCCTCCGCAGAAGTCCCCTCATCTGTCAGAGGACAGGTGGAGGAGAGGGAAAAAAAATTGTTTTTCAGAGGTGCCGAAATTTAGGCTATGCTTTATCCAGGTTATAGACATTTAGAAATCTACCTGAAGAAAAGACATAGATAAGAAAAGACAGCTTAGGAGAAAGGTAATAATCCAGGCATTGCTGTGGGCCCTTTAATACATATCACATCATTTTGTCCTCACCATAATCCTGTAGGGCAGCCATCTTGGTTATGATTTACAAGTCAGGAAACAGAGTTCAGAGACAGTGTAAGTGGCTTGTCCAAGTATACATAGCTGGTAACTGCTGGTTTGTACTGAATGACCTCTGCCATCCATTCCAAACTTAGTGATTCTAGTCCACTGTCAAGTACAAACTGTTAAAGTGAGATTCACGCACTTGAAAGACAAGTCCACATTTTGCCCAAGTTGCTGCTTACTCCTCGCTTCATTTCTTGTAAAGGCTGCAGGCTGCCCCCATCAGAGCTGCTCTTGTCGGGCCAAACACAGACACATTGTTGGTTGCTGCTGACTCTTAAGACCAAGACTTAATCAATGTGTTCGGTCTGTCCCCGTCCACGTGAGGAGCGAACCCTGGGTCCTGCGGATGGGCCTGCTGAGAGCTGTCCTCAGGAGGGAGGAGTCTTGGCACAGTCTGCTGCTCCCTTTCTGTTTCTGCTGCTGCCAGGCTGGTCTCTCAGTCTTAGCCCAGGCCCCTGGTCTCCCTGTCTCCACACTGCCCTATAGTGTATTTCCACAAGAGTTGTTAAGACCTCACAAATTCCTTGCCATCTGTCTTCCCACCCACTACGGCCTCTTCCTGCTGCAGAAAGCTTAGCCCATCCACCCCAGTCCTCATGCTCCTTTCCTGCTGGTCTCTTCCATGCCATGAGCATCAGGAAGCCATTATCACCTTGGGGACTCTGCACTGCTGTCTGTTGTCCCATAGTGCACTTGCCCCATTCTTCATGGGGTAGGTTTCTAGTCCCCCACATTGCCGCACCATCCCTTCTTCAGAGAGCCAATCTCAGACCACATAATACAAAGCAGCCACTCCCATTTGGCCATACAGCCTCTTGATTGTGCAGAGCCCTTGTTGCTGCCTGATACTCCTCACTCATATGTCAGCTGCTCCATCCAGACAGTATACTATCTACATGACCAGAGGGCTCCCAGTGTCCAGTAATGGCACGTGGCATCTGTTGGGTAAAAGAACAAATGGCCCAGTTCACCTCACTCTTGCCCTGTAGCCATCTGTTTAGTCCAAATCTCTTTTCCAGTCATGCCTCTAATTATGCAAATTCTTCAGTTTAGACCATCTAGAAAGCAGTCACTTGACTGCATCACCCGTAATCTATAGTTAATTCATAACATTAGCCTGGCTGGATTTCCGAATTGAGGCAGGCATCCTGCTATGGTTGCTAGAAGTACGGTCTCTGAGAGTCCTCCTAGTTCTGATCTTGTCTCTGCTATTTAGTGGCTAGAATACTTGGTGTAGTTTGCCTAGCCTCGGTGCTTTGGCTGGAAAAGGTGGATAATAGTTGTTACTGCCTTTCTTGGTTGTTTGAAGATTAACTGAGTTGAAATATATGAAGAAGTTAAAACAGAGTCTGGCGTATGGTAAACATTACAGAAAAAGTTAGCTCTTTTAATTCACCTAGAAAGCAAGAAGTAGAGATCAGTGTGGCATCATATGGATGCCAGTTCATGTCCCTGCTGCTCTGTGTCCAGCCCAGCTCCCTGCTGATGTACCTGGGAGAAGCAGTGGAAGATGACTCAAGTCTTGAGACCTTGAACCCAAGTGGGCAATCTGGAGGAAGCTCCAGGCTCCTAGCTTCAATCTGGCCCAGCTCTGGTGCTTGTAGGTGGCCATTTGGCCACCAGCAGATGGAAGCTCTTTCTCTCTCTCTCTCTCTCTCTCTCTCCTCTCTCCTCTCTCCTCTCTCTTCTCTCTCTTCTCCTCTTATCAAAACATAAGTAATTTTTTTTTAAAAAAAATGGCCAACTGTGTCATCAGGTTGAGTTTGGGAAGGACTGTGAGGAGTGACACTAATTGCACGGCTGCCACACCTACTGTGTGTCTTCCTTTGGCTTATCAGCCTGTCAGCTGGGTAGTGTGTTCTTTGTATTGGAGGGAACATATCTCACTAGTGAGTGGTTGAGACAGGAGGCACTAAGCTCTGACCTTGGTGTTGGCGTACTTTGCATTGTGTTGTAATGCCTTATAAGAGAAAACAATTCTCCAAAATTTTCCTGAAAATTATGTTTGTTAAGGCTTGTCGGACTTGCTTCTGAAGCTTATTCCTCTTCATGAATTTAGGATGTCAGATCAAGGTTGTATTTTAAGATCTGGAATTCTGCAGTAAGAAAAAGCAAATTAACGTGAGAAAAAAATAGAAGGAATGAAAGCAGCCATGACACTATAGTAAACAATAAACAAGATTCTTGGCTGCAAGTCATGGAGACCCAAGTCGGATTAAAGTTGAAGCATTTAGCTTTATGTCTCCCTCCCTGAGTGCCCTTCTCCTCCATCAGCCGTATCAGTCACCCAGAGCGGCTCTGCTGGGCCTGACTTTAGTCCCAAGGCAGGGTCCGTAATACACTCTAGCACTGTGGAACAGGAAGGAGACAGGCAATGGAGCAGTCTGGTCAGACGTTCACTCTGTAGTGCATGGTGCCAGCCACGGGTTGCTGGTCCCTGCAATGGTCCTCTGGGGTAGGAAGGGCTATTTCTTCATAAATGAGGTCTAAAACAGTCTCCAGTATGATTGAAATGCTGATACGCTCTGCCTTTTCCTATTGATTGGAGGCCCAAATTCATCAAAGCAGAGTGGCTTCTTACACATAATGTAAGGAAATGATAGCCAAACTGAACTCTATGTGTGTGTGTCAATTGTGGCTCAGCTTCCCTTGCAGTGAAAGTGAGGCTCTTTCACCTGCTGGCTGTCATCACGAGTGTCAGTATTCAGTAAGGACTTCTGTCTGGGGAGAATATGGCATGCGTGGCGACTATTGTGTGCAGTGCCAGAGACTGCAGACTTGTGGTTGAGTCATCAGTGTGCGGTCGGGGGTTGCAGGTAGAAGAAAAGAGAGTCAGTTCCTTTGAAGGAATAGAGTAAAAGTCTGTGGAGCAGAAGGAAGTTGCCTTCTCTTCTCTGTGGCCTCTGGCTTGTAGGTCCTGTCATTTGCGCTGTGCAATCAGGAAAGCTCGTCGGTCTGAGTCGCGGTCCCCGAACGTGGCGGATGAAATGGGACTGTGCCTGTCGCAGCCGTTTCTGTGAATGTGCAAAAGCTTTAGCTCTTTAAGTGAGGAGAAAGATGAATCAGGACAAAGAAGCGACCCTCTGGGTGATGACTGCGACACCAGCAGCATAAGAAAAGCCAGAGCAAGTCTTTTTCAACCACACTCCTTGTCGGACACATAAGGACCCAGTAAACACATACAGACATGGCTCAAAGTTCAAGGAACAGTATTTAACTCCAATGGTGCCACAGCACACTCTATCTCCTGCTGTTGCTTTCTGTTCCTTTGTACTCTTGGTTTAATAGGACCTGTCGTTTCTTCTTGTTTCTATGCTGATCCTCACCCAGTGAGGGGTCATACTCTATCATTGGGCCAGCACTGGCTGGCGGACAGTGGAAAAGGAGTGTGTGCGGCTCTGGAGAGGGGAGCAGTGGCAGTGGTCCCGTCGGAGTTAATGCCCCTCGCTGCCCCACCTCTTGCAGCCCTCACGCCTCCGCCCTGCACTTGCATTCATTCTTGGTTTCCCCCAGAAATGCTGTTCCCTGCTTTTCATGTGATCACGCCTTTGTTCTTCACACACACTGCCACTTTGTTTGTGGGCCCTGTCATGCAAGCCTCACATCTCCACTCTCAAAGGCCTTCACATACCCAGAGGAAAGGCAAAGGAGAGAGGAGGGCCCAACTCAGAGTTTACGGGGAGGAACTGGCCTCACTGGACGGGAATGCTGGCCTGGGGAAGGCTGGGATGTGCTTAGAGGAGGGGGAGAGGGATATGCTGAGACTGGGGAGTCAAGTTCAGAGTCAGTCTAACTCACTCCCCTTCCCCTTGCTCCTTGCTGCCTGCAGGTAAATTCTACTGTAAACCACACTACTGTTACCGACTGTCTGGCTACGCACAGCGGAAGAGACCAGCGGTGGCTCCTCTGTCTGCAAAGGTACTGGTCATCTGTTCTGTAAGTGGGGCACAGGTGGTGGGCACCAGGATGTGGCCAAACGGGGACCCACAAGGGCCTGGGCCAAGGCTGCGATCCTATTTAGGGAGGAGCTAGCCTCCCATGAGGGGCCTCACATGGGAACTCATGCAGACCTTCGCTCTGCTCACCCCTGCAGTGACATATGCCTTCGTTACTAAGCATCTTCCTGAGGAAAGGACTGCTCTACTGAGGACAACTTCCGTGTGCCTTTTCTCATAACAAGGGCCCTCAGGAGGAGGCAGGGCAACCCAAGGAGGGTCCTGCCCTGTCTCCTCTTTGCCCACCTCCCCCCAACCTTGGGTGTCTCTAGGTCAGAAGGAGTAAGAGCTAAGCCTTGCTCTCCACTCTGGAAAGGAACGTGACCCAAAGCTATTCCTCCTGCCAGGCCCTTAATTCCCTTGTCGCTTAGAAGACTTACCCACGACCTTTTTTTTCTTTTTTTTTTTTAATTGCGTGTTTATTTGAGAGACAGAGTGACAGACTAAGCTCCTATCTGCTGGTTCGCTCAGCAAATGTTGGAGCTGGAAGCGTAGTCCAGGTCTTCCACATGGGATGGCAGGAATGTGGTTAATTGAACCATCACCGCTACCTGCCCCCAGGAAGCTGGACTCACCCAGGCACTCCATGCCCTTCAGTGAATGATACGAGTGTCTTCAGCCAGTGTTAAGCAGCTGTCCTTCCCCTTTTTAAAATGGGAGCTGCCCCTTCTTCTCTCTCCATCAAGGTTAGCAGGGTGATTCCTCACTGCGTGGATCTCAGCTGCTGAGGGTGCGGGCTCAGTCATGCTTCCTTGAGAGGCTTCTGTCGTCTGCATAGGCATGCTGGGAACAGTATGCTTGGGTGACTTTCATGTGCAACAGATCGCATCATTGTTGTGCTTTGAGTGCATTAGAGAGTCATTCTCCTTTTCATTGTGGATTTTCATAGGAGGCCAAAGGACCCCTGCAGGATGGCCCCACTGCAGACACAAATGGACGGGCCAGCACCACCACCAGCTCGGCTGAGAGAACCCCAGGTAGCCTCACTTCCTTGTTCGGCTGGGTGGCGCGTCACTCTCTCGGCCTCTGTGACAAGGCCAAGGGGGTGAGCCAGCACTTCCAAAGCAACATTTCTTCACTTGGGCATCAGGTGACCCAGAACCCCCTGGACTCCTTTTTCATGTGCCAGCTACTTGCGTTCGGGGTACCCTTTCTCTATGGCCTGTCTGAGGTGCTGGTGCAGATCAGAGGGGAGTTCCACTGGCAGTCTGTGAGCCAGTAAGGCACCCCTAGGGGCAGTGTCCCCCGAGCTGTGGGGTTTGCTTACTCTGAATTTTAAAGCATTGCTCCTACCCCATCCTGCATCCCTCAGGAGACTCACTAGAGTGTTTGGTCCAGATCCAGTGTGGTTAAAATGAAATCCAGGACAGGCCGCCGTGCTCAGTGTCCCAGCTGGGAATCCCTTCCTGATGTCCCTGTGTAGGACCCCTTTCTCAGAGCATAGCGTTGTGATCCTAAGGCTCTGTGGTCTGGATTTGTGTTCACCTGAGCTTGAAATTCTTGCATCCCATTTCCTATTGACATATCTGGAGAAGCAATCACTGCCCTTCCGTTTGACCTGTAACCATTGTAGGGCATGTCTGATCTGAACACTTCAGTGCACTTGGACTTCTAATGAGGATCAGTCTAGTTAGCCCCATTTTAACAAGGACTCCCTGTGTCAGCAGATGAGTGACGCTACGTCTACCTCTGAAAACACGCTCTGGTCAGCAAGTTGCGGGACAAGGAGGGCTTGTGGGCACAGGGCCAGTTGTGAGACTTATATATATATATATATTGCTTTTTCCTTAAAACTGCCCTTCCCAGCCCTTTATAAAATTAGCCTCTGAGATACGTCCACAGTTCCACAGACTGCCTGGCTAGTCCTGATTGCCCTAAGACAACACTGGATTGTTCCCAACCCTGTGTACAGTGTGTACGTGAGAGAGGAAGACAGCAGGGCCATGCTTCTGAGATGCCATGTACTTCCTCTCACTCCAAGCAGATGTGTCCCAAGTAGCCTGACTTAAGCACGTAGAAGCATACAACCAGGGAGGAGTTAGTGTGGCATTTCTGTGTTGGGAAAGAGGAAGAAGTGTCCACTGGGCCTTCCAGTGAGAGATGTCATTAGTTCCGTGCTATCAACCACTCGGCCTGGGAGTGGGAGAGGTGCCCAGAGGCTGTGTGATCACCCCCAGTGCAGTGATGGGCAGCTGAGACTCAGGCGGCCCAGCTGGGTTTGGTGGACTCAGCCTCGGTGTGCATATGACGTTATTTCTCAGAGGAAGTTTGCTCTATGCTCTGCTGGTGGGACCAACATTTTACAGCCATATGCAAGCCATGACTTTGAAACTCTCCACGGCCTTCACGCCCCCTGTCATCTGTCTTCCTATAGGATGTACCACCCTTTGTAGTTTATTCTCAGAGCCTTGGAGGAGAGAGCAGGAATTGCTGGTTACAAAAAAATAATAATAATAACCCATGAGATCTCAGCAAAGACGGGGAGTTGACCCCATAGTGTGTGTACGTGTGGTCAGCTGAGAGCGCCAACAGGTAGATTTTCCAAGGAAACTGGATATTCAGTAAAGCAGCTCTAAGAAATTTAACTAGACTTTGGGTATCATTTAGAACATTCCTTAAAAACCATTAAACACCAAGTTCGTATTATCCCTGAACAAAATGAGTCTGCTCACTTTCCTGATTCAGGTTGCCATTATTCCTGTGAAATCAAAGAATAGTGGATTTCAGATTTTGAGATGCTCTAGAGAATTAAGTGCTCGTGGAGAAGCAAGGAGAGAACGTAAGAATTGGCAACATGGCTAAAGAACCAAAACCCCCGAGAAAGAACCCAAATCTGGAGGATGTGTCAGTTCTGATAGCTTTTGCTTCTGAGCCAGAACATGACTTGCCTCTTAAAGCACCCTGAGGTGCCCCAGCTAAACCCTCCAGTGGAAGGCTGGGGAGGAGTCAGTACTATCTTCTCCTGGAACTTTAAACTTTCGAAAATGACAGCTCCCAGTCCTGCACCTGCTGCGAAGCACTGGCACTTTCCTTGTAAGCTGACTTTGGCCAGGCTCTGCAGAAAAGGAGTAGACTTGAGTGGTGTTTTATTACTGATATATTTTCTTTTCTCTCCCTTGAAAGAGATTCCCTTCTACAAGCACCATACCAAAGCTTGGCTTAGTTTAGAATTTTTGTTTTTAAGGAGCTCAGGTGTTTAGGGAGACAGAATGTGTCAAGACAACACTCACTAACCCGGATGTGCATCGCACATCCTCCATTGCACTCGAGACCAGGAAAGGCTGTGAATGGTGAGTGTGACTGTGTTTGCCACTAGACCTTCCTGAACCCACATGCCCCAGGAGGGAAGAACTGGCAAAGCCATGACAGCAGTCAGCACTTCACCCGTCTGCCTGTGTCCTGTACCACCTCTTTAATGTTGTGGCATTTCTCTCTTTTCCCTTACTTTCCTTTCCCTCTTATGCCAGAATTACTGTCATTTCCCACCACCCCCCTGCCAGAAAAAAAGAAAAGAAAGAAAGAAAAGTAAAAGCAAGAACCCAAATATAAGTCACAAAGGGCCCGTGTTAGAGCTGCTCTTCCTGGCGACCTAATCTCTTGTTGTAACTGCTGTCTAACTTAGTGTTTGCAAGACGTTGTTTACAATATCTTTGCTTGTAATATGCTTTTACTAGAGAAGTCCTCCTTTCTGCTGTCAACCCTTGAAGTGTTTGATTTCCAGGCTTCTTACTCTTACTGCCATTTATTAGTGGCCCTGGCACAGACTTTCTTCCCTGGCCTCATGGTACCTGCCCTGACCTTAGAAAAAGTTTGAAGTACAACAGACAGGAAAAAAAAAAAAAAACCAGTTGGGAGGAATTTCCCATAGACGTGAGACCCTCCCTGTAGGGTTTACGGGTTCCGTCTTGTTCAGAGGAAGCCCTTTTTATCACGCGTAGGAAAGAATCCATCGCACAGCCTAGAGTGTGTGGGTGTCATAGGAAAGGAATGATGAGCTTTTCTCCTGAAGAGTTCATCATCTGGGAACATTTATGATACAAGCAACAGAAATGGGCAGGGAAAACATGTTAGTCATTTGTTGTCTTCAGAAAACTTACCTAAAAGGCTGCAGAATTACACATGACCCAAGTGGCCTGCTCCACTTCCCAGACACACCTTGCATGCTATTAGGTTCTGTAGTCAACGATTCCGAATGGGCCATGAAGGGATCCATTTCCCACACCAGCTTGTTGAGCAGCCAAGCTGTCCAGGGAACTGTAGTCAACCCTGACAGTTGGAAGTTAGGAGATCTTCCTGCTTCGCAAGTTCACCTTCCTTCTAGGTACTTCTGGAAAACCTTTTAGTAGAACAGAGAGAATTCTATAGCCCTTCTTACTGCATTGTGGTCAATGCTGATGTGTACATATTCTATAAACACCTGCATATTTGTACAGACATGCTTCTAGGGTTCACTTCATGTATATCTGGAGAGGTGTTTATTTATACACTGGACCTTAAGTGGTGACAGCAGAGCTGTTTCTCAGCAGCTTGGACACTGGACCCCAGACCCCTGGCCTACCTCAGGGCTCTGATCAGGACTGAGAGGGTGCGCCTTCGGCCCAGCATCACCTGTGCAGGTGGGCACTTGTAGAGCTGAGTCTCTGAAAATGAGCAATGCATACTCCACTGTGAGAGCTATTCAAGAACAAACCAGAGGTCTGTGGCTAGGGGCAACCCCAGAAACGGATACTTCCCCCCTGCCTCTGGCTTTTGAGTTCCTCTCTGGGTTCCACCAGCTTTGTGTTTCAACTTTGTTCTGTCTTTTGGCGTCTATGATGTCCCTGGCAGTTCTCTACAGGACATTAAAACATTCTCATGCCCTCCGGAAAGGGCCCACCATGGCCTTGAAGGTCTGCCCAGTGACTTAAGGGATTCACTTTTTTCCTGGGCCACTCAGCTTGAGGGGAGCAAGAGCAGGGAAAGGCAGCAAGCCAGGTCACACAGCAGCGATGCAGAGAAGCCAGAGCGAGGGAGGACTAGCTGTGCCAAGGAACACGTCACCTGTCCGCTCTGGCCTTCCCTGAAGCTTTTCTTTCTGCCCCTGTTTTTACCCTGTGCCTTTGTTTCTGGTGTGTTTGTGAGTTTTTATTTAATTGTGTAACATTGTTTTTATCGTTACTGTGAAACCAAGGTGTTGTGCTTTTAAGTTTTTTTTTTTTTTTCCTTTAAGAAATGTTCCATTCTTATTGAAGAGAATAAATTCCAAACAATATTCAGGTTTCTGAGTTTTTCTTTCCCTTCCCTTTTTCCTGATTGGAGGGTGGCAAGGGGGAGGCTCAGGCAACTCTTGGGAGCAAGCCACAAAGTGGTTATCCCTGAGGATGCCTGCTCCCGGGCTGGAGTCTGCAGAGCATACACAGGTGCAGTGGGAGGCCCTGCTGCTCATCCCTGATATGTAGATTGCTGTTAACTGAAGGGTCCCATCAGGACCTGGCATGGGGCAAGGTGTTTTGCTTCCCAGCAGTGGCACATATAAAAGAGCACCCACGTGGCACAAATCAGCCAGCTGCCACTCAGGACCTGGTGATAGAGAATCTACGCCAAGCCTGTGTCTACAGCAGGTGCGTGGGCCCGGGCCAGGCTTGTTTCTAACTATAGCAGGCCACCAAGGGCAGCTGGGGCCAGTTAGGTGGCTCAGGCACAGAGGTGCCCTCAGGCAATGGCCTTACTTTTGGTGACGTTGCAGGTTCTGTTCTTCCCCACATTCTCCCAAGCCATCTTTACTGGGACCAGCTAGGCCAACCAGTTGTTTCTGGCGACTCTGAAGCCTGAAGAGATAAGGTGTACGAATAGCAACAGTTCCCTTCTCTCACACTGCTGACTTGGAGAGTGTGCTGACCACAGTGGCCACAGACCTAGCTGCAGGGCCACAACAGTCCTTGGTGGGTAGAGAAATCAAGACTGCCCCTGCTGGGCTCTGAGAAACTGAGTGCTCTGA